CATGGCCAACTTACTTGTTACATGGCTAACTCCTTGTTACATGGTCACTGGTTGTCAGGTAAATAATATGAAAGATCTCTGGGATTTTGTACCAATGGAAAATCATTTTATATAGATATTTTCTTTATAGAGGGTACAGATAAAGCTTTTAGTTGCATGTGACCAGACTGTTTGCCAGGTTTCCAGAGGTACAGTATTTCCTGAGGATCATCTTTCATTTTTGCATATAGTAATGTTTATGGGAATTTGCAGAGGTATCTTCAATATTTTATAAATGTCAGATATTAGTCCTTTACGAGAAGGATCCATCAGAGAGATTATCTCCAAAGGGGTTAATTTAGATGTTGTATGAGTTTGTCTGAGTTTTATAATGAGTTTGTTATTGTCTCGGTGTAGTGGTAGATTTGTATATATGCAAAGAATGTGTGTCTGGCAGGGGGGCAGTCCCCCTGTCAGAACACAAAAAGCTCAGCGGGGGAGATCACCTCACTAACATTGCATTAGTTGGTACAGAAACCTCTCAGCATCCTGGGTTGAGTGAAAGAAGAAAACTTTGTGCTTACCTAGCATTATGCATCCTAGGCAAGGAAACCTATGAGGTCAGGCTGAATGGAATCCCTGTGTTGAAAAGAAAGGATGTCATTAAAAATGAGTTTGTCATTGGGGGCAATTGATGCTTTGCATTCCCCCATAGGCCTCTAAGAAATGACATAATGTGAAGCAAGTCAGATGGGTGTATATTGATAGTGCTGTTCCATAACAAGAAGCTGGTGTGGATGGAAGTCACCCACAGCTTCTCCACTTTTGTCCAATGGTTCTAAGCTTGTAATGTAGACCAGGAGGCCAAAGTTTTGAAATGGGCAGCTTGGTAGTGTTTGAGTAGATTTGGAAGAAACCAAGGCCACCTTGGTTGAGGAACATTTTAGGCCTGCATAAAATTCTGCAGATCGGTTTGTAGTTTTTTAAGGTATGAAGCAGTAACGAGGATCCATAGGGCCTCAAAAGGATGGAATGTTTTCAGTAATATAGTCATTTTAATGGCCAAAAAGATGCAGTGACTTTAAAGGATTCCTTTATTTCTCGAAAAAAAAGGCAAGGCATTTTTCTTATGTAGTGCATCATAGGTAAAGGTTATCTTTAGTCCTAAGTATTTAAATGTGGTAGTTTTTCAGGGGTATGTGAAGTATTTAGTCAGAGATTTAAAGTGTTACTAAACCAACAACAGTAAAATCAATTTGTATATGCAGTAAATCATGCTTGTTATACTCCCTGCAGAAGCTATGTATTCAACCCTCTGCATTGTGTTAAAAGGATGTCTGATCCTGTCTTCTCTGATCATTCTTCCATAGTCCCCAATCGATCTGCTGATAGAACAGAGCCTTGGGGAGTAAGCTGCACATGCTCAGTCTGGTGTGTATTGCTAGAGAGTTTTTTTTTTCTTGGGAGAGATCATTACAGGGCCAATCAGTGCTGTCCAGACAGAGGGTCAGGGATCCTGCAGCCTCATAGGACAATCAGGGGATAATGAAAACTCCTCCTACAAGCTTTAACCCTGATAGAAGTCATAATTCTGCTCTAACTGCTGATGAAAAAAAAAGGTATTTAGCAGTTTATATATTTACTAAAATAATTGAATTTTCATGTTCTATGTACTGTGGGAGACCAGACATAGTGAATGCAGGGTCATGGGTTTAGTAACATTTTAAGCAGTCAAGGCCCTATAGAGATAAGGGAGAGTAACAGCATCCGCAAAAAGTGAAATCTTAAATTTTCTGTTCCCTAATCAGTATGTTCGGATCGTTTCTAACATGAGTTTTCAAGGATTCAATATGCAAAACAAAAAGGAGGAGAGAAATGAATTATCATAATTGCTAAAAACTGGTTCATAATAAAAGTTCATAAAATAGACTATCGCATGGCTTTCTAAATCCTTGTTTAAGCCATTTGAAGACCCAGTTAATAAATCCAGAAGGTCTCCCTCTAACATAACAGTGCAAATCTTCTGTTTTCAGTGAGTGAGTGACCCCTCTGGTATGTATTCAATTGCTAGCACAGTAAGAGCTCCAACATCTTTCCTATGATGTAATGAGAAATGATACAGGAGACTGTGTTTTGTCTTTTTACCACTTCAAGTCCGGACACTTTCACCCCCTTCCTGTCCAGGCCACTTTTCAGCTTTCAGTGCTATCACACTTTGAATGACAATTGCAAGGTCATGCAACACTGTACCCATATGAACTTTTTAGCATTTTTTGAGACAGATAATACTTTATTTTGGTGGTATTTATTCACCACTGGGATTTGTATTTTTTTGCTATATAAATGAAAAAGTCCAAACATTTTGAAAAAAAGTGTTTTTCTTATAAAATTTTGCAAATAAATAATCTTTCTTCATAAATATTAGACTAAATGTATTCAGCTATCTTTTTAGTAAAAAAAAATAACCCAAATTGGTTTATAAACCAAAAATTTAAATTTTTCAAATTTGTTTTCCATTTTTATTTTTTTCCATTTTTATTTTTTTTATATTATTATTTGTTTTTTTTATTAACATACTGTCACCCTAGCAGTACAGTGTCACCATAGTGTGATGAATAAATATATATATATATATATATATTTTTTTTTTTTTTTACACTGATTGCTTTTACACCCATAAAGGCTGTAAAAGCAATAATTTCTCCTTCTCTCTGGCTGCATTCTTGCAGCCATTGGGAAATACTGTGAGAGCTGTGATTGGTCACAAGGCTGTTGTGAATAGCCTTATACCATGTGATTTCAATAGTAGTAAGCAATGATGTCAGTAAGTGACATCTTGCTTACAACTATTCATGTGATCACTGATTGGCCAATGAGTGATCACATGATCGGGACCTCACACAGAGGTCTCACACAGTGATCAATTTTCCTCCGGACACAGCGGGCACCGGATTGCTGTGCAATGCGCTCCCAGGGAGCGCGCACAGGCAATGGATGTGGGAGGACGTTTATAAATGGCCACCCACTTCTGCACTGCTCCCATCTGACTGTTTATGTACATGGGTCGGATGGGACACTCCCCACTGTCAAAATGCACTGATCAGCAATGCTGTCTACAGTCAGCAGTGTTGATTGAGCAGGGAAAATCTGACAGGCTAGGTGTACAGAAGTCAATCAATAGATCACCTTCTGTAAAACCAGCCTGCCCATACATGGATCAAATGTGGCTTGTCCCTGCTGAACCAGACTGATTTGTATCTGTGTATGGCCAGCTTAAGCGTGATCAGAGGTAGTTGTATAAATCTTCATATCTTCATAGGATAAGGGTCTGGTTGTTTGTTTACAAACAGATGTAATGCAACTGAATCTGTCAATTGCCAGCAATTTTAAGGCTTGTTTTCTTTATAAAGGTCATTTTTGCTGCAGTAGGATGAATACATTGTACACATGTGCTACTTCACAGGTAGGTTAAGGGTACCCACAGACATGTTATTGAAAGGAATTTTTAATGCATTTTTCTTTTTCTTTTGAAGCATTATTAAATCTACTGCTTCCTACAAGTAGATTTTTTTTTTATTTTTGCTTTGGTGCATGCACCCAGGGCTGTGCCTAACTCCTCATGCCACTTGTTTGACAATCCCTTGACTATTAGCCTAGAAAATAACCAGAACTGATTTTAACATTCAGCTCTTAATGACTTCAGTGTTGTTTGAATTCAACACCTGAACTTCTGTAATGTTTGCTGAACCTGTCTTGAACTGTAACCAGGTATATTCAGCTTATCCCTAATGAGAACATTACTGCCAACCAATAGTAACACATTCTGCTCATAATAGGAAGTATTGAAGGTTTTTTCACTGAAACCTATGTCTAAAAGGAGGAATAATGCAGGAAATGTTGGTAGCAATGTTGACAAAACAAACTTAATTTCTGATAAAGTTGCTGCTCACAAATGCTTCAAGTCGGAGACATTTTCTGACCTCACCATGCTACTACCACAGATGCCGGGATGATAGTCAACCCCTTAAGTTCCCCTTTATGTTAACCCTTCCCAGCCTGTGTCATTAGTACAGTAACAGTATTCAGTATTATATCTATCACTGTATAATTGTCACTAGGGATGTCAGTATCAGTTAGTCATTTGGTGTCCCTCCCAGACAATGTCTGTTAGCACCAGATTGCCTGCCACACTATAATGGTAACACTATAACTTGCTGCTCTCACCAGCATTACCAGAATAGCGTCTATAGCAGAGTAAATTCCAGTATCAAACATAGTTTTCTAGATGCTATATTTTTAAAATAAATCAATTATTATACACTTATAGGTTTTTTTTTTTTTACCAAAAACAGAATACATTTTTTTCTAAATTCATGAAGAAATTTTTTTTTAGAATTTTTTTATTGAATATGTTTTGTAACAGAAAGTAGAAAATATCATCTTTTGTTTTCCCAAAATGTTTGGTCTTTTTTCATTTATATAATAAAAAATGAAAAAAAAAATGTGGTAATCAAATACCACCAAAAGAAAGCTCAATTTATGTGGAAAAAAAATTATATAAATTTAATTTTGATGCAGTGTTGCATGACTGTTCAATTACCAGTTAAAGTACCACAGTGATGAATAGCATAAAATGACCTGGTCATGAAGGGGGAGGTCAAGTGATTAAGATGTGCTATGTTTTTGTTTGTTTTGGGCATTTCACATTTTATATAGATTAATGAATGGCTGAATTATATTGTTAGGTGAACACTGTGTATTGTGAGCTTATTTTTTGATAAGAAATGTATATTTTCTCTGATTTATAATGATTATGAATTTCAAAAATAGACTGTGCTAAAGTCACAGATTGACTAAATACATGTGCAATCTTTAAAGTGATAACAATGAACAAAATTCAAATACAATGTTAATATTCAGTCCCAACATGTGAATAATTGGTGCAATGGTGCTGTAACTTTAACGGTGATACTCCATGCTGCAATGACAAGTGCTTCACTGTGTTCACACTGGTGCCCCACATAGATTTAAACCAGGGGCAGACTGACAACTCATGGGGCCCCCGGGCAATAGGGGATCATGGGGCCCGTGTGTCCTTGCCCAAACTAAAAAAAAACCTATGAAAAAGGTACTAGGGGGGCATCTCATGGGGCCCCCTACTGACCCCGGGCCCTTAGGCAGTGCCTGAGTTTCCAAATGGTCAGTCCGCCCCTGATGTAAACTCACTGTCATTTCATGACCACCTATCTCTAGGTTAGTCACACTCGCTTTTGGGACTATACCAGTATGCAATCCGGTCCTGATGGCCTATATTCCTTTGCCCTTTTAACCGTGGTTGCTGGTAGTAACCAATAACTTTCCACTAGGACTGCATCAATATTAGGGAACTCCTCTCCACCACAGGCAGTATTTCATATTTTCAGCATAAACTAAAACAAAACCAGATATCCCGTACACCCAATCCCAAATACAGGAAGTGACGTCCATGACGTCATGATTTCCACTGATGCCACTTCCGGTATTTGGAAAGCACGCTGAAACGCAGCAGCCATCTTAATTCCCATTCATAATATACAAAGCTGAATACACCCAGTGCCAGGAAAGGAACTTTTTGTGAGTGGCATTTCTATTGTTTGACCCCATATTAAAGTTCTATACAGTTTTACACTATGGGATGTCCGGTTTAATTGCACCAATTATTCACATGTTGGGACTGAATATTAATATTGTATTTGAATTTTGTTCATTGTTATCACTTTAAAGATTGCACATTTATTTAGTCAATCTGTGACCTTAGAGCGGTCCATTTTTGAATATTTAAGATTTTGTGTATAGGAATTCAAAATTAGACTGCTGCTATATAGGTATCTATATAGGTATATATAGTTTAATTTTTATGTGTATATATATATATATATATATATATATATATATTTATATTTTTTTTTCCTAAGCGCAACAGCATCCCTTTTCTTTCAATGATTATGAATTGTATGTGTCCAGTATTATAAATTTTATATAGAGCCTTGTGTGTAAAGCTGTCACATTCATGATAGCTTCTCAGCACAGACATGCCCCTCTCTGAGCACTAGTGTCTCTATTCACTCATAGATGGTCTTATTTACCAAGAGGTTCCTAATCTGCAAACTGGTAGTAGTTATTTTTGAATCTGTTGCAGCTATAGTGACAGGTTCTTGATGTGGTGGTAGTAAGAACAACCTGCATTTGCACATGTGTTGGTACTGCTACCAAATGTTTTCCTGAGTTAGGTGCAGATAGTTTTAAAGAGATATACTGGCAGAAAATTGTCATAAAAGGTTTATTGAATTCCCCAAAGTATCTTTGAGCTGTATAACTGCAAGCAACTCATAAAAGTGTGCTAAAGCACCTCAGTGTTGACATTTTGTATCAATAAAAAGCCCACATATCTTTTCATATATGTTCAATGTCACCTTGCCTGCCCATGTACAATGCAGGAACAGCAGTCAGTCACCAAACTTTCAGACCTGATTTTTATCTAGAAGTAGATGGGTTACTGATGTAAGAACTGTTTTCCAAGGTTCTAAAGCTCTAGACAACTGTTGTCCTCCATCCATTAATCTTTCAGGCTAATTGCATTGTATGGGGATTGACGTGGTGTGGATTTTTATTATTATTAATTATGCTGAATTTGAACATGTATGTGCTGATATTATAAATACTGTATATAAATATATTATTATAAAAGTATATATTTTTGGCAGTACTTAGTTTGTTTCCTTGCACTAAAGTTAAAACCAGCTAAATGAGCTATACATTCATTATTCTGTAATCATAAAGTAACAGTTTGCCACTGTACTGTTAAATTGAAGCTTAAATATAAATTAAATGTAATGAAATCTGCTAGTTTTCTAATATGTACTTGAAATCTGCATAGAATAATCATTAGATCCTTTCAGTGTTTTAATAAATAATAACAGACTGCAGACATAGTTCCCAAAGCAAATATCCTGTGGATCTAAAGTTATAATAAACTCAGTTGATACCAATCATTTTGATTTTTCATGAAACATTGAATTGCTTGTTCCAATGCATCTAACAGAACAAATGAAATTATTTTTCATAGCATGTATTTCAGTTTGCATCCTTTGTCATCTCATGCTTTAAAAATAGAAACTCAATGACAGTATCTCATTAGAGTAGCAACAAGAAATCATTGGAAATTGGGTTGTGATTGTTATCTCAATAATTCTGGAGAGGTTACATAATTTAGTACATATTGTGAGCTGACAATTCCATGTATCACTGTAATGTAAGCTGCCCACTGGTAAAATGGAGGTAACAAATGTGCTAGCAAATAATTACTCAATGGCACTTCATAGAAACTATACCAGTCAAAGGATACATTTAGATTTTTTCTTCTTCTCCTTAAATGGATTCATTAGCATTATAACATAACATTCTTTGTGAAATTGCATCAGTAGTGTGTGTGTGTGTGTCAATATTTTTGATTTCCACTCTTGCCATTCAAAGAATGGGCACACTTCATTTAATATAGAAATAAAAAGTTGAGTAACAAGGTTTTTAAGTATCAAAAAACTGGGCCGCATACCTCCGCCAGGTCATTGGGGTTTACAACCTCCAACAGAGCCTTACCATTGCACCATTCTGAGGCACTGAAGACAGTCACCTACTGTACACTTCAGAAATGCGGACCCATACATGGAGGTAAGCTACCAGGCAGGCAAGTTGCCTCTAGCTTCACAGCTTGAAGATCTGATTGCCTCTTTTTTCCACTATGGATCATCCAGTTTCAGATACCATGTTGAAAGAAATGCTGATATCCCTGCGAGCCTCCCTGTACTCAGACATGGTGTCCTGTATGCACAAATGCATGACAGACATACAAGAGTTAGATGAGACGGTGAGTCACACGGGAGTATAAAATGTGTGATTTCACTTCATCTTTTAACTCTATGGTGAACACTCATGACACACAAAAATATGAGATCACCTGGCTCAAAGCCAGTGCTGACCTGGAAGACAGGTCACGGTGAAACAAGTTAAAATATGTAGCATCCTGGAGTTGATGCAACCATCACACCTACCCAGGGGCGGACTGACCATTTGGAAACTCGGGCACTGCCCGAGGGCCCGGGGTCAGTAGGGGGCCCCATGAGATGCCCCTGGTACCTTTTTAATAGGCTTTTTTGAGTTTGGGCAAGGACACAGGGGCCCCATGATCCCCTATTGCCCGGGGCCCCATGAGTTGTCAGTCCGCCCCTGCACCTACCCCACAATGTACGGAATCTCTTCCAGGTAGTAATACCTTCACTCAGCTCAGCAGACCTCACTATAGACTTCAAAATCCTCTTTTCTACCCCCCACATGTTCCCAGAAACATACTGCTACATGGCCATTTCTACCAAGTAAAACAAAAGCTGCTGGCAGATTGTAAGACCAGCTTCATGTGCAGGCTGACAATCTGGCCGGTGCTCCCTGAACTCTCTGCTCATACACTACAGCCATGTAAAAACCTCCTCACCATCACCAAGGCCCTGAAAAATCATAAGGATGTCTATAAATAGAAATATCCAGATCACACTGATTATTACACATGATTGCCCCAGAGCACCCCCTACACAATGAGGCACTTGATTGACACGTCATCTCCCACAAACATTCTAGCAATAAGTATTGGCATGAGGGCTCTGGATCCTAAATCTATGCACTGTGCCGATAACCCTGCAACTCTGCAACCTCCTTCTACACATTCTTGTTCCCCCTATAAATATTGCAGATTCTCTGCTTTTGGTTCTACCCAGAACCATTTTTTTAAAGTTACATCTATGAAGGGTGTTTCCATGTTCTACTTCTCTCATGTCAGTATGACCTTGGTGTTTCTCTGATGACCTTTACTTGTACTCCTCAGAACTATTCCTTCGGCATGCCGTAGCAATATTGGATTCTATAGCTCAACACATCCATTCTAAGAATCACTTCCCCAGGTTCACAGTGAGTCTACCAATAAACAGTATTTTATTCTGCTGTTATGGTACCTAAAATGTTGTCTTAACCACCCAGACAAACATTATTCACTGTGGCAAGAACCTCATAAACTCTAGGCGAACATCATTATTGTCTAGGAAACACATTTCCAAGCTTCTGCCACTCCACGTTGTAGCCATACAGACTACCCCCATGTCTTCCTGTCCAGATTTTCAAGAGGTGTGCTTCTTGTCATTAGAAACTCTGTATCTAAAAAAACTCTATTCTGGCCAATTAGGAGTGGTATATAATCTTAGCATGTGATATTAACAATTAACAATAAGTCTTATAACTTAACCTGTGTTTAGGCTCTTAACTCCCATCCTGTACAGTTCCTACATTAGCTTTTTGAAAGGATTTCCACTATTAAATATGGTAATTTGACAGTGTGCGAGGATTTCAATGTAGTTGTTGACCCACGCCTTGACACAACCTCTTCTCCGCAAGGTCTTCCAACTGCTTTGGATAACCTTCTGCACACAGAGAATGTGGATGAAGTTTGGTGCTATCTACATGCTAGGACTTTACTTACTTCTCACCTAGACACAATTCTTATATATATTTATTTGTGATTGATAAATGTCTCACACAGCAGGTGTGTCTTCTTCTGCTATCTCAGATATAACATGGTTAAAACATGCTGCCATCACCATAATGATAGAGGAGAAAGACACTTGCTGGCCACTGCCTGTGTGGTAATGCAGCAACAAGGTTATACAGGATCCCAAAAACAATGTTTTGTTCACTCATCATTTCCCTGAATATGTGCGCCTCAATAGCACTTCGGGCATAGATGCCTTCTCACTCTGCAATGCCCAGAAGGCCTCCATGCGAGATCTAAATTAAAGATAAAAGATCTAAATTGAGTGACATGCATAGGTTACAGAATCAAGTATATCTGGATGAACAAAAAATAAAGGAAGGATGCTTCATCCTAATACGTTTCATGGAGTGAGCTTCTTCAGGGGTTCAAGGGGTGCAGCTGATAAGAGATAAACAATACATAGAAGCATACGGTATATAATTTTAATGATTGCAATGCAATACAATGAAATACAAATATATGAAAATCATGCTTGATAATATGTAGCAGTTACTGACAAGGAGGAAATATCAAGAAATGTCCCCAAACAAGAGGAGTATTTCATATACTGGTGGAGACCCCAAAGGAGTGAGTGCACAAGGGGAGAGGTGATGGTGGAACGAATGGGAGACAGCCAGTGGCCCTAACTAGGAAACAAGGAGGCAACACCTGGGGGAAGTATAGACCATCACTCCCATTACATAATAATCCTAGAATGAACATGAACACGTTCATAGAGCCAGAGCTGGCACAACACTGTGAAGTAGGCAGGCCGCTTGTAGACATATAAAATGTGTAGGGTGCACTGCCTCCTAGGATGCAGCCATGGCCCCTGGTTTCCCTACTCTCTGCCATAGCCAGATTCCAGATTTCACTTGTGCCCCAATGGTCTTTCCATGGGTGCTATGCCTAGCCACAGAATGCCTTTCCCCATCCCTGCACTCACTTCTGGGACAAGGGGAGAGCAGCCTGGAGCAGTGAATCCTGCAAAGGAAAAATGACAGAAGGGAGCCGAGAGGTGTGGGCTGTGCTCTCCTGTCAGTAGAGCAATCCTCCACAAAGCAGATGACACAGAATCACTTTTACATCCGCATGTTCAGTGTTTGATTCATTCCCTGGCTCTCTGCTGCTGAGAGATGAGCGGTCATTGCAGGAGATAGAGGGCGGGTTAATCAAACCGTGTACAGCCTGATCTAAAAGCAATATTGTGTCATCTGCTGTATGGGGGATGCTCCATGGACAGGAGTGAGAGCACAGCACAACCCACACCTGGTTTCCCGCCTGTACATTTGGGGGGGGTTATAGGCTGGGTCAACTATACACAATGAAAGGAGGGGGAGGGGTAACAATCATTTGTGCTGAGAAGAGAGATTTGTGCAGGAGGGGGAATGGGGGCTATTTGTGTTGGGAAGGGTAATGGGGGGAAATTTGTGAAAGGAAAAGGAATGGGGGAATATGTGCCAGGATTAGGAGGGAGGTTTGGGGGAGTTGGAGGGGATTTGTGTTAAAAAAGGAGTGGATTTGGGTAAGGTGGGAGAATTTTATGCTGGGAATTGTTTTAGCTGGAGGGGTTTTAGCTTGAGGAGGGATTTGGGGGAATTTTTTTCCTAGGTGGGAGGATTGAAGGAAGAGGATTGGTGCTGAAAGAGGGGATTGGGTGGATTTGTGCAAGGAGGGGGGATTGAAGGGGAATTTGTGCTAGGAGAGGAGATTGGGGGTATTTTGTGTTAGGAGGGGGGATTTGGGGGAGGGATTTGTGCTAGGAGGGGGGATTGGGAGGAATTTGTGCTAGGAGAATGAATTAGGAGGTTGTGCAAAGGGGAACGTTTGGGGGGTGCTAGAAGGGGGATTGAGAGAGTTGTGCTAGGAGGGCGATTTGTGGGACATTTGTGCTATGAGTTGTGATAGGAGAGGGGATTGGGGGGATTTGTGCTGGGAAAGGGGGTGATTTGTGTTATGAGTTAGGTTGGAAGTTAGTTAGTTAGTTAGGTAAGAGTTAGTTAGGTTCACTCCTCACAAGACCTCCTACTTTCTAGCTCCCTGGTCTCCTCCTCCCACGCCCGACTTCAGGACTTCTCCAGGACTTCCCCCATCCTCTGGAACTCACTACCCCAATCTATCAGACTGTCACCTACCCTCCTCACCTTTAGGCGCACCCTGAAAACCCATCTCTTCAGGGAAGCCTACCCCTCACCTAACAGCTGATCTCCTCCACTCCTCCTACAACTGCATCCCCCACAGCCACTTCCTCCTGTACCACTATCCCCTCCCTCCTAGATTGTAAGCTCGAAAGAGCAGGGCCCTCGAACCCCTCATATATTGTTTTGTTACTGTATTGTCTCATGTACTGTCCCCCACTATTTTGTACAGCGCTGAGCAAACCTTTTGGCGCAATATAAATACTATATAATAATAATAATTTTGCTAGGGGGGAGATTGGGGGGGGGGGGGTTGAGCTAGGAGGGGGATTTGGATAGGGAAGAAGGATTTGCGATGGGAAGGGTAATTTGGAGGGAGTTGTGCTAGGAGGGGGGCCTAGGAGGATTTGTTCCAGGAGGTGGGATGGAGAGATTTATGCTGAGGGGGATTTTGGGAAGAGGATTTGTGTTGGAGGGGTGGGTAATTTGAGGGGAAGGAGGATGTGTGCTAGGAGGGGTGAAGAAGAACCACAGGTGAAGTTTTATTTGCAAGTAGCTGGTCTTGCCTAGGGTACAAAATAGTCTAGCACACCGATCCTGCATAGAACATACCCAAAGCAAAGGGGACTGTTCCAGGGCAAAAGGTAAAATGTGACTTAGAGTGCTGATGCTTTATACCTACATGGATAATCACAAAGAAATCTTAAGAGATGGAAAAGACCAAAGAGCAATTCTTCTAATGTGCAGCCAATCACCACTTATCTAAAGTAGAAACCAGACAAAGCCAAGTAGAAAATAAGGAAATTACACCGCCATATGTCAGAGATCATTATTTGCACATAGCCAAATGCCCAAGCAAGCTTACACGTAAAGCGCCAGATTACCTTGATCAGTAGTCAGACTTGCATGTGATCCTCACACCAGGAGGAAACCAGCACTTACTTTGCCATGCTGGGGATTTTAAATGCTCAAGATGGCTACTTCCTCACTCCTCACCCTGCCCCACCCCTGGCGTACACATGTAACACATGTATGACTTTGCACTCCATAGTTGATGGTAGAGCTAAAGAAAATTGATCAGATTGTATAATGTATGGTGAGCTTTAAATACTGCTTCTGTTTTCAATACTTTTTTCCTGAAGGAGAAGAACAGGTGCAGGGTGTGTGCTAATGAGGTGAGCTGGAAAATTACTTCCTGTGTCTTAATAGTTTCTATGCCTTAAATCTACATACGAGGAAATCATTCATTTTTCAATGGAACAAGCTGGAGCTGGACAGGTAAGGTTGTTCTAAAATACTAAGAAAGCTTTATCTTTTCTGCAAGAGAAGTACATTAATGGTATATTAGTACGTAGGGGAGCTGGAATTTAGAAAAAAGTGAACTTAGACTTTAAGTGCAAAAAGGAATCTTCAAGCTTTTTTCAGTTTTAAAAGGAGGTAGCTCTAAGTGTTAGTTCCCATGTTTCTCAACAGATGAATGTATTTAAATTTAAAAATTAGCCCTGCTTTAGAGAAAATATATGTTTGTATGCCAACAGTGCTCAATACTGTGTTAACACATGGAAACAGATGGATAAAACACTATGACTTCAAGCAGAAAAAAAAATTATGAATTTTTTTTTTAGTTTGTCAAAAGTAAAACTGGAACTACTTTACCTCCTTATTGTGGCTAGCCCTTTAATTCCTGGGAACACTGAATGCCCACAAGAATGCACACTTGCACAAAGCTGAAATGCATTCTCCTGGAGCTTGGCTTTCACAGCTTTCCTTAGAAACAGCACTGAGACTCAAATATTGTAAATATCCAGACTAAGCATGCCACATCTAAAGAGGTATCTTGCAGTAAAGTTGTTTTCAACATCATAAAATCATTTCAGCACAGATAGAATTCAATGTGTCATATCACCTCAAGCATAATAAAGTCCTGCAGACTGTCAGTGGAATCCATCTGCTTGAACAAGCACTGACATGAAGGATCAATGAACTACCAAAAAGCTCAACATTGCTGTGGTAGTTTATCAAGGCCTACAAGCCGACAGCCGCAGAGGCTGTCGGGACTTGTAGATTTCCATGCACAGAACTCTGTGAATGAATGACACAGCTGGGCGGAGAAATTTTTTAAATCATGATAGCTATCAGGGGAGAAGATATATGGGTGTAACATGCTATGAAAAGTGAACTTATCCTGAAATGTTTAGCAAAGGATTCTTTGGTGAATCTACCATGACATTCTCAATGATTCTTTGATAAATAGAGGCCTTAATACAAACAGTATTTCTGAACAACCGTTAACAGCATTAATGAATACTAGAACATAATCATCATCATCATTTATTTATTATTATTTATTTCAGGTACTTATATAGCGCCGTCAATTTACACAGCGCTTTACATATATATATATATTGTACATTCACATCAATCCCTACCCCTCAAGGGGTGTACAATCTAAAGTACATACACATACTAGGGCCAATTTAGACAGAATCCAATTAACCTACCAGCATGTCTTTGGAGTGTGGGAGGAAACCCACACATGCACAGGGAGACCATGCAAACTCCAGGCAGGTGGTGCCGTGGCTGGGATTCAAACCAACGACCCTAGTACTGCCAGGTGGAAGTGCTAACCATTTAGCCACTGTGCTGCCCATGTACGTACATGCATCTGGCTTAGTGATTATGAAGAAACACCAAGCCAACCTCTAGATTAAAAAAAAAAAACCAAGAAACTATGAAAAGTGAAACATATCCAAATGATTGGAAGAAAAATGTAAAAAAAAATATTTACCTTGGACCCTGGGTTCAACTTGCTTGCTAAATTTTCCAGGATTGTTAATTAGGGGGATGGAGGGGGGGGGGCCTCAATTTTAGCACAATGAAGTGCCTTTGTGGGCAGAGTCACCTGCCAGTTAAATGTCTTTGTTAGCTCCATCAAGATGCCTCTTAAGTGCTGTACACAATGGCCGAATATTGGGCAGCATCGGATGGTTTCTGTTCGACCCATGTGTACGGCAGCCGGTCCAACAGAAACCATATGTTCATCCGGCTTCTGTTGAAGGGGCATGACCGAAAAAGGTGTGCCGATCGGCTTCTGATCAGCCAATGGTTGAGAGTGCTGATTGATGTGTTCTGGCAGTGGGGTAGTCCCCCTGTCACAACACAATAGCACAGTGGGGGCGATTGCTGTACTAACACCACTTGTGTTTTTTACAGCAATCTGTCAGTCTTTTTTTTTATTCAGCCTGCTGGGTTGAACAAAAAAAAAACTGATAATGTGTACAGGGCATTGGAGTGGTTTCCCAAAATGTAATTAGGTCTCACAAGGTTCACAAGATCGAGAGCCCATCCTACTGGCTCCTGATCAGAAGCAGTGACTGAAAGCTGTCGGGCACAGCTCGGTCCATGTGCCTGGAGCATGTAGTGACCGGGTGCTCAGCACACCACCTCAGCTGTGGTTGTATGTGCGCAGGGGCGGACTGACAACTCATGGGACCCCCGGGCAATAGGGGATCATGGGGCCCCTGTGTCCTTGCCCAAACTCAAAAAAGCCTGTGAAAAGGTACCAGGGACATCTCATGGGGCTCCCTACTGACCCCGGGCCCTCGGGCGGTGCCCGAGTTTCCAAATGGTCAGTCCACCCCTGTATGTGTGGCATCTGGGCCTTAAGGCCTGGTTTTCCGGCCACCACATATGCATTATGTGGTCAGGAAGAGGCTGTAACAATTGTCTTGTGCTCATTCATCCTACTGTAAATTCGACTGTGGAACGCTAAGCAGATGCCATCGAATGTCAATAAAAGATGCCCTGGGAAATTTTCCCTTAGAATCCTTCATACCTTAATATTTAAAACATTCTGTTCTATCTCACCAAGTTATAACATTTGTGTTAACAGATTACACATTTAGAGGTAAATAATGTGGTCTTTACTAACAACATGTCAAAATTATAATGAAAGATTGGGAAACATCAGCCCAATTTACATATGATAATGATATACAAAACCCACAAAATAAAGAATATTACATGTACTGCACCAGATTCTAAACTGTCTGATTCTAAAGATCACTATATTTGTGTTTTAACTTGCAGGATCATGGGTAATTCTGAATTAGCAACAGTCACGGAAAGCTTAAGGGCTCGTGCAGAAAAACTGATGGAAACTGAAGCACAGATTTCACTTTACATCAATTTTCATGCTCACTTCAATTAGTTTTATATACACTTTGCAGATTCCTGAGCAGAATAAATCTGCATGTGATACTAGTATTGTGGTGTGAACAGGGCACATAGAGAACAATTGATTTTGTTAAGCCTTTGCAGAAGGTGTACAGAAAAAAATGACCTCTTCTTGCATGAACAAGCCCTAAAGGATTATTTATGTTTACAATAAACTTCAATGCATGTGCACAAAATCCTACTGATAACCTTTATGTTGTTCTTTGATTATTTTTGGTGTTAAAACGTTAAAATAAGTGTAGTATGCTTCAATTATTTTATTTTGTAATTTTATGGCCTGAAGATGATACTGCATTTATTTATGTATCTGAGAAGTTTATATATCAGCAGTAGCCTTAGGATTCAGAAATCATACAGTAATGAAAAATATAGATCATTTGTGATAGGAAGAGAAATTGCTGAGTTTAAACGCTCAAATTACTTATTTTAGAAGCTATTGTTGGCAAGCTTTGAACATTCTAGACCTCTTATTACAACAATAGAGAAAATGAACACATTCAGGTGACAATATTCTAGAAACCCTTGTTTAATCTTCTCATGTAGCAACTTTATACAGATGTGTCTTCATGTTAGCGGAATGTGTGAATTCATTAAGCATGACTTAAAATTAAATCATACTTTCCTTACTCCAAAGTCACTTGGTGCAGCAGGTTTATGGTCTATTGCACCACTTGGTTCCTCTATTTTACTCTCAGCCAGGATACTACATGCATGAAGTTTGCAGGTTCTCTCTGTGCTTGCATGGGTTTCTTCCAGGTACTCTTGTTTCTTCCTACATGCCAAAGAAATGCTTGTACATTAGAAGAGTGGGTGCTGTGTGGCCAGGGGCGGACTGACAACTCATGGGGCCCCCGGGCAATAGGAGATCATGGGGCCTCTGTGTCCTCACCCACACTTTAACCACAACCAAGAAAGCCTATGAAAGATATTCATGGGACCCCCTACTGACCCCAGGCTTTCGGGCAGTGCCCGAGTGCCTGAATGGTCAGTCCACCCCTGTGTGTGGCGTAAGTTTCTAATGTTGGGTATAAAATGCCAGTACAGTTCAAATACCCCCAAATGACCCTTTTTTGGAAAGTAGACACCACAAGTTATTTGCTGAGAGGCATGTTGAGTGCATGGAATATTCTATTTTTTGCCACACATTTTTGGAAAATTACCTTTTTTTTCAAAGTTGGAACTTTAATAAAATATTTCTCACATGTGCCGTGGGTATATGTGGAATTACACCCCAAAACACATTCTTCTACTTCTTTTGAGAATGAGGGTACCACATGTGAGAGACTTTTTGACAGTCTAGCCACGTGCAGGACCCCAAAATCCAATAAGCACCTTCAAGCTTTTAAAGGGTGTTATTTCATCAATATGCTTCCTGAATAACTATCATAGTTTTGGAGGCCCTGAAATGCCAGGAGGCCCAGAGGCCCCCAAATGACCCCCTTTTGGAAAGTAGACACTCCAATGTATTTTCTAAGAGGCATGGTGAGTATTTTGCACACCTCATTTGTTGCCATACATTTTTTGAAGATGAAGAAAGAAAACAAAAATGTATTTTTTATTTTTTATTTTTCAAAACCTTGTGACAAAAAATGATATCTGGAAAATACTTGCCATGCCTCTTATCAAATTCTTTGGGGTGTTTACTTTCCAAAAAGTGTTCATTTTGGGGTTGTGTTTGTAGTATCGTGGCATTTTAGGGCCTCTAAAACTATGATAGCTAGTGAGAAAGTGACATGAGGAAATTTGCCGTTAGAAAGCCTGAAGGTGGCCATTAGATTTTGAGGGCCTGTACATGGCTAGGCTGCTAAAAAGTCTCTCACATGTGGTATCCCCATACTCAGGAAAAGTAGCAGAATGTGTTTTGGGGTGTTATTCTACATATACCCATGGCATGCATGAGCTACATATAATTTAAACGATGACGTTGTGTAAAAAAAAAAACAAATTCAAAAATGTGTTACAAAATATAAAATATTCCATGGACTCAACATGCCTCTCAGCAAATTCCTTGTGGTGTTTACTTTACAAAACGGTATCATTTGGGAGGGGGTTGTACTGACCTGGCGTTTTAGCACTTCAAGAAATGTGATAGTCAGAAAGTAAAAGCTGTGTAAACTCCAATATGTTATAGCATAGTTTGTAGATGCTATAACTTTCACACAAACCAATTAATACAGTGGGGATTGAAAGTTTGGGCACCCCAGCTAAAAATTTGTATTAATGTGCATAAAGAAGCCAAGGAAAGATGGAAAAATCTCCAAAAGGCATCAAATTACAGATTAGACATTCTTATAATATGTCAACAAAAGTTAGATTTTATTTCCATCATTTACACTTTCAAAATAACAGAAAACAAAAAAATGGCGTCTGCAAAAGTTTGGGCACCCTGCAGAATTTATAGCATGCACTGCCCCCTTTGCAAAGCTGAGACCTGCCAGTGTCATGGATTGTTCTCAATCATCGTCTGGGAAGACCAGATGATGTCAATCTCAAAGGTATTAAATGCCCAGACTAATCTGACCTTGCCCCAACAATCAGCACCATGGGTTCTTCTAAGCAGTTGTCTAGAAAACTGAAAATAATTGACGCTCACAAAGCTGGAGAAGGCTATAAGAAGATAGCAAAATGTTTTCAGATGTCAATATCCTCTGTTCAGAATGTAATTAAGAAATGGCAGTCATCAGGAACAGTGGAAGTTAAAGCAAGATCTGGAAGACCAAGAAAAATATCAGACAGAACAGCTCGCAGGATTGTGAGAAAAACAATTTAAAACCCACGTTTGACTGCACGATCCCTCCAGAAAGATCTGGCAGACACTGGAGTTGTGGTACACTATTCCACTATAAAGATATGGTCTTCATGGAAGAGTCATCAGAAGAAAACCTCTTCTATGTCCTCACCACAAAAATCATCGTTTGAGCTTTGCAAATGAACATATAGACAAGCCTGATGCATTTTGGAAACAAGTTCTGTGGACCGATGAGGTTAAAATTAAACTTTTTGGCCGGAATGAGCAAAGGTACGTTTGGAGAAGAAGGGGCACAGAATTTAATGAAAAGAACCTCTGTCCAACTGTTAAGCATGGGGTTGGATCAATCATGCTTTGGGGTTGTGTTGCAGCCAGTGGCACAGGGAACATCTCACGAGTAGAAGGAAAAATGGATTCAATAAAATTTCAGCAAATTTTGGATGGCAACTTGATGCCATCTGTGAAAAAGCTGAAGTTAAAGAGAGGATGGCTTCTACAAATGGATAATGATCCTAAACACACCTCGAAATCCACGGGGGATTACATCAAGAGGCGTAAACTGAAGGTTTTGCCATGGCCTTCACAATCTCCTGACCTCAACATAATTGAAAATCTATGGATAGACCTTAAAAGAGCAGTGCGTGACAGACAGCCCAGAAATCTCAAAGAACTGGAAGACTTTTGTAAGGAAGAATGGGCAAAGATACCTCAAACAAGAATTGAAAAACTCTTGGCTGGCTACAAAAAGCATTTAAAAGCTGTGATACTTGCCAAAGGGGGCAGTACAAGATATTAAAGTTTGGGTGCCCAAACTTTTGCAGACACCATTTTTTTTGTTTTCTGTTATTTTGAAAGTGTAAATGATGGAAATAAAATCTAACTTTTGTTGACATATTATAAGAATGTCTAATCTGTAATGTGATGCCTTTTGGAGATTTTTCCATCTTTCCTTGGCTTCTTTATGCACATTAATACAAATTTTTAGCTGGGGTGCCCAAACTTTCGATCCCCACTGTATACACTTACTGGGATTTTTTACCAAAGACATGTAGCAGAATACATTTTGGCCTAAATGTATGACTAAATTTGAGTTTATTTGATATTCTTTATAACAGAAAGTAGAAAATATTGTTTTTTTTCACAATTTGTGGTTTTTTTTTGTTTATATCACAAAAAATAAAAAACCCAGTAGTGTTAGTATTGCATGAAAAAAAAAAGGATATAAACTTGTGCAATTACCAATTGAAATAAATAGCGTAGTGCGGAATTGCAAAAAATGGCCTGATCATGATCAGGGTAAAACCTTCAGGAGCTGAAGTGATTAAATGGCTCATGTTTAGAATAGCCATAGTGTATGTATTTGTGATAGGGACATTAGATTGTAAGTTCATTGAGGGCAGGGATTACATTGAATGTACAGTATGTAAAGAGCTCTTGTAAATATTAGCACTATACAAATGCCTGTAATAAAATCAGAGTTGTACTTTTATATAGTCTGTATATTTTGTGTTCTCTGGCTCCTCCAACTAGTTGAAGTCCACAAATGTTAATGCTTCTTGGTGTAGAGTCACCGTATCTACTGATTTATCAAGATGTATAATTTGTGAACTTAGGCTGCCCTCAGAGCTGCTGTTGGAAATCATGGGTCCCTGTAGAGCCCACCTAGAATGGCACTCCACCTCAGTCTGGGCGGGTGTGTAGGTGCAGGTGCAGCTCCAACTGCTAGA